CTCCATCTTCCTCTCCTTCCCCCTTAATGGGAATTCCTTCCTAAAGGACACTAGGCATGTGCAAAATCTGTTGAAACAGGGGGAAATCTGCTAATATGCCTAGAAGCTCTCAAGTAAGCTTCTCCAAACAACTATCAATGTGGGCCCCTGCAGAACTAAACCTATTTCATAATTCTTATTTATTTGTTTTTTTCCAAATAATAACCGGTGGAGTGCTGCCTCAAGTGCATCCACTGCAAAGATTGTGACTTTACCACATGCAGTGGGATGCAGGTAAAAGTGTGTGTGTTTTAGTCACCTGAATGTGTCCATCGCAGCCATCTATTTCTGCATGGTCCTCTTCACCTGCTGGAACTTGATCTGCCAGGAGCCAACAAAAGTGCTGTACTATCACACTTGGCAGCTGACAAAGCTTGACAGTGTTAGTAGTAGTGCCTTCTTGCCACGCTTTATCAAGCTTTGGAAAAACACATAAGACAAATAAGTTTCTGCTTTTTTCAGTAAAACTCAAATAATCTTTCTTTTTGAGCATTTCAAAGACTTTATTTATGAAATGCTTATTTTGAGGGGGGTGGGGGATGACTATGAAGCTTTAATCAGCTTATTTTGTGTACCTTAGTACAGGGGTCCCCAACATCCGGGCCGCGGACAGACATCGGCCCGCAAGAATTTATTGACGATCCGAAAGCTTTCACCTGACTATTCCGTTGGGTGAAAGCTTTTGCGGACCGGCAATAAATTGCTGCGAGATATTTCCCCGGTGCTATGATCTTATGATCATAGACTTGGGAAATGTGCCTCCCTCTCCCATGCCGGCTCTGCAGGACTGGAGGGGAGATCCGAGATAACCCTCTCCAGCCCACTCACAGTGTACTGCTGGCAGGAGAGGGAGGGATCTCCTCTCGCGAACTCTGAGTGTTGCGGTTACCCTGAGGCTGCTAGAGTTAGCTCCTGAGGCTGCTAGAGTTCACTCTCACCAGTAGAACCACCGGACCACCAGGTATTGCAGGAAATGTCCCCCCTTCCAGACAAAGGTAAGGGAGGGGGGAAATTTAAAAAAAAATTACTATTTTTCTTTTAATTAAAAAAATGTATATTTATTAATCTACCATACAACCCCGCAGACCTACAATCATTCTCCCCTATACACACATACTCTCCCATCCCCCCCATACCCACACACACACTGCCCCCTCCTCTTGTTCTCCTCTTTTCTCCGGTTCCTGGGTGCTGAAAGGTTGCAGAACACTGCCTTGGTGTATTAATAGCACTTTGCAAACAAAAACCTATATAAACTCAACATCTCACGGTACTCCGTCAATTCACGTGTCTCCAGAATTGTCAGAACTTTAACAACTATTACAAGTAAAACAAAAATAATTTTTTTTTTATTGAATATGTAGTACTGACAGTTTTATATAAATTAAGCATGGTGAATAGGCAAATTAAAAAGCTGTGGGTAAATCAAATAAATGTTAAAACATGGGCAAGAGCAACTTTAACAAAAACAAATGAGTGCACACCAAAAATAAATCAAATAACACATTAAAACATACAAAATGGTATTGAGCACAGTAACAAGTCGTGACCTAACATGTATACAGAGTAACTATTACAGATTGTTACTATCAGTTCCAAACATATTGGAAGGAACCAGCTTGGAAAAAAAAAAAAAAATTGCAACAGTCAGTAATTAATGGCTCTGAATTCAGCAGAGAATAAAATACTGGTGTCGATTTGCAGAGGGGTGTATCCACTATTAAAGGACCACTCTATGCACCCAGACCACTTCAGCTTAATGAAGTGGTCTGGGTGCCAGGTCCTTCTAGGGTTAACCCATTTTTTAATAAACATAGCAGTTTCAGAGAAACTGCTATGTTTATTAATGGGTTAAGCCTTCCCCCTATTCCCTCTAGTGGCTGTCTCATTGACAGCCACTAGAGGCGCTTGCGTGCTTCTCACTGTGATTTTCACAGTGAGAGCACGCCAGCGTCCATAGGAAAGCATTGTAAATGCTTTCCTATGAGGCTGAATGCGCGCGCAGCTCTTGCCGGGCGCATTCAGCCGGCGGGCGGAGGAGGAGGGAGAGAGGAGGAGAGCTCCCCGCCCAGCGCTGGAAAAAGGTAAGTTTTTACCCCTTTCCCCTTCCAGAGCCGGGCGGGAGGGGGTCCCTGAGGGTGGGGGCACCCTCAGGGCACTATAGTGCCAGGAAAACGAGTATGTTTTCCTGGCACTATAGTGGTCCTTTAAAAGCACTATGGGAAAAAATGCCAATGTTATTAGTATTTATCACACTGCCATACTCCAAAGCAAATCCCCTTGGAATTGCAGTTATTTTTATTGGACATCTCCCAATCAATTGATAGTCATGGATAATTTCAAAGAAATAAACTATTAAATATTTTTAACTATCATTCTACATAAATCAATCTGTATTTGATGGTTATCTAAAATAATGTTCCTTCTCACTTTGTATGTTTATAGCTTTAAGGATATCATATTCTTTTCTGTATTTTTAGGCATTGTCACCACTGTGAGGAGTGCAAGTCAAAGACTTCCAAAGACCAACCACAAACTGAAAGTGCTCCATCGTCTGCCCAATGAAGTATGGTAGGTATAGAATTCAGAAAATTCTCAAAAGAACAGCACATGGAGAGACAAAGTTGTATAACATAAAATAGCCAGGTGAAAACCATATAAACACTCCCTCAAATGTTTCAAATATCCAAATATCTACAGACTACAGAATGCACACCATAACAATCTCAAAAAACTTAGCTTTATTATGTACAAAAAGTACCAAAATGAAAACATACAATAAAAATAAACACAATGACCGAAGCAAGGGCAAATACAATAAAGAAATGGTAAAATACCAAAAAAGATTCATTCAAGCCACAAGTCATAAACACGAGTCACCAAACCCCCCAACGTTTCGGCACCAGTTGCCTTTGCTTCTGTCATTGTGTTTATTTTTATTGTATGTTTTCATTTTGGTACTTTTTGTACATAATAAAGCTAAGTTTTTTTGAGATTGTTATGGTGTGCATTCTATATTCTATAGGTATAGAATTCGGTCAATGCCAAACAGTTTAAGTTTCTTCTTCCACATGTAAAAATACTGATTCCACCAATGTTTGAATACACAAATTATAAACACATAAATACATATGCAGTCCCATAGTTATGTACACCCTATATATGGTCCCATTCATAAATTACACATGCATGTGCAGGCATACCCTTAAAGGGCACTCTAAGCACCAAAACAACTTTAGCTTAATTAAGTGGTTTTGATGCATCGATCATGCCCCTGCAGTTTTACTGCTCAATTCTCTGCCATTTGGGAGTTGAATGACTTAGTTTATGCAGCCATAGTCACACCTCCCTGCATGTGACTTGCATATTTTCTGTGAAGAGGTATCTATAGGGTTCTTCAAAAGTTTGAAACAGATTTTCTACTTTAAGACCAAAAAAGCCAAGCCGGAAGTATAACTGCCATGTTTCCAATGAAGCTCTTTTTACCTTAATTTAGCAAATCTTTTTAAATTTACACACTAGTGAATAACCCTGATAATATTTTAAACTTGATTTATTGCGCAGTCTGTTTAATTTAGAATTTATCTCCTACTCTGTCGACAGCCTGCTAGAGCCAACAGCAACATATAACTACATAGTTTGAGAAGAGCCGACTTTATTAATTACTTGCTGCTATATTTCTAAGGTGATGATGAATAAACAAGCTCTATAAAATGTTAATAATAATAATTTAGCCACATAGGCAGATATCAACTCATACATATACTTATGCAGTCACTTACACAGTATTCCACACATGCATTTGTGAAAAGGGGTCAGTAAAGAGTGGTTTTAGGGTGGGCGGGCACATACACTTGTCAGAGCATGTAATTGTGAAAAGGCTGCATATATCATGACTGACCAATGCAAGGATCATGCTGCTTCTTGGACTACAGACCTCTGGGGCTTCCCCATCTATTTCTTTGGATTTGATGTTGGGACCCATGAAGTATGATGCTGATGGACAAGTTAAAAGGGGGCTGTACTTCATAGAATAACGTTATGGTCTGCACTCATGGATAAACCCCTGTAATCCACAGAAATTAAAAAAAAAAAAATAATAATAATTTTTATGCGAATCTTGTAACTGGTACAGCCCAAAAGGGGATAGGTCTGCCACAACAACTGGCAGGCAGACTAGCATGAATGCCTGCTAAGCTGCCTGCAAATCAAGCAGACTGGCGCACCAAGGGCACTGTTTCAGCACTCCTTGCAGGGATCTTGTGCTCTGAGCATGACGCAAGCGTGTCTAATGTTCTCACACTATAGGCAAAAGCGGGGCTCCAAAGAACAAAGTCAAAACAGCAGGACAGGTCTCTGATCTTGGGACTGTTCCACTGAAATTGGACATGTTGGGAGATATGATCTAGGACATATAATATAAATTTGAAAAATGTACAGTGATTACAATATTATATTAATCTTGTGAATATTTGTTTTTATTATGTCTTTGTCTTAGTATGCTACGATGAATGAAGTATTTATGGTTTGCAGAAAAGAAGACATCCCAATTTCCATTATTTTTTGTACCAGTACGCTATTCATAATAAAACTGAATTATAAAAATGGCTATAGTATTTTTTTTTTTTTTAATGTTTATTGTGTATTTTCCAAACAAAATTAGAACTTGGTAAAATTATATATAGTACATACATGAATAGTGTCATTAGTCTCACATAGAGCAATATGCATGAAGTCTAGAGGGAAGAGGTATGAATGAGAAGCAAATGAGGATATATGGGTGGTTAATGGACCTGTTAGTTATCTCTGGATGTATCTGCAGGAATATGTTTTATATCTCATAGCTGCACTGATAAATAGAGGTGGCCAGAAAACTCATTACGCCAAAACGTATGCAGAAAGTTTAAATAGATTTGGACTTGTATTCCTTTTAATAAATAGAGGGAAGGGGGGGTGACAATTGCCATTAAACTGGCTGATAACACATTTTCTTTGCTGTTGTTTTTTTGGGGAACATGCAAAGTGCAATTAAATAAACTTGATAAAAAAAACAGAAACCGTGATGTACAGGATCAAATGTCATCTCACTTGTTATGGGCCAGTGTTAATATTGCTGACAGATACAAACTATTGTATGGATTAAACCAGAGTGAACATGATAGAAATTAATGACCTTTTCATCAACAAATGAAAACTAGACGAAAATGTTAGGGAGCGAAGATATTCTGGTAATATGTGCAATGGCATTTTACAGCCAATACACTTTTCTTTTTAATAATTTAGAGTTGCACTTCTGATTAAAAGAAAATAATGTTTGATCATATGCCATTGATGCTTGCTTTCATTATTAAGCCAGACCTGTTGAATTTTTTTATATTCGGGTAATATGTGCAATGGCATTACTTACAGCTAATACAATTATTATTATTATTATTATTTTTATATGTTATATCACAGTTAAATCTGTGTCTGTACATGTACAAACCTTGATAGCATAAATAACCGGTTAATAGATGTTTACTCCTCCAAATGTATGTAATGAGTTTGGAAATTAAAGAAAAAATGCTTAAATAATGCATTACACTTTAAATCTGCAGTAAACTTAGTTGACTAAAATCTTATATTTAGTTGACTAAAACAATTCAGATGACTAAAAATATGACTAAAACAAAATAAAAATTTGCTGTCAGAATTAACACTGGGATGGGCACATGTCCTATTGCTCCCCTCGATGGATGATGGGTGGACAATCCAAATATATAAACAAACCCCAGAAATATATACAAAGCACCCTGGTGGATCTAGAGTTTAAGGGAACAATATAGTGTCAGGAATACAAAGAGATATTACTGACACTATAGTTAAACACAGTTTAGGCATCTAGGTCTCTAGACCCCTTTTATTTCCTTTTAAAAAGGTAGTTTACGTACCTTTATACCGGGGTTGCGCAAGTCTCTCCACGTCTGGCTCCGCCTAGTGCTGTATTTACCGCAAGTCTAACCAGGCATTTGCCTCAGGCGGAACTTTCCAGGGGGCGGCAAAAACTCTGCCCCCCAAGAGCCCTGGCAAATCCCTTGTTAGCCTTGTTTTACGTGGGCTCAAAAGCTGGCCGGCTGGCCACCTTTGGGGCGTCCAGCCACTTTGTATTACAGGCGGGTGGAGTAGGAGTGCTGTTATGTGAGCTCTTCCTGCTCTGCTCCCTCGTGTGACCTGCATTGATGCCGGGAGCCGGAATATGGAGTAACTCCTGCACCTGGCAGGAAGATCACAGCTCTCTCGCCACCTATTTTGCACACCCGCCTACCCCACAAGCTGCCTGCCCAGCAGCTCCACTGGGCCCCAGGGAAAAATCCACCTAGCTTTCCCAAAGTTAGGGAGGCTGGGTGGGTTTAAACTAAAATAAAAATAAATAATTATTCGTAAATGTTGGGGGGAAATGTCTGTCTGTCAGTGAATGTGTGTGTTTTATATCCGTCAGTGTGTCTGAGTGAGTGTATCTGTTAGTGAGTTTTTCAATTAATATTTGTCTGTCCGTGAATGTGTGTGTTTTATATCCGTCAGTGTGTCTGAGTGAGTGTATCTGTTAGTGAGTTTTTCAATTAATATTTGTCAGTGAATGTGTGTTTATGTGTGTCTGAGTGTCGGTCAGTTAATGTGTCTGTGTCATTGTATTACAAAAAATAGTTGGGAATCACAAAAAATGTGTTCCAGAACTAAAAGAGGGTGTAAGAAAAATAAAGAAAGTAAGCAAAAATAGCTCTAAAACTGGAGCAGAAGGGTCACCAATAATTCTATAGAATAAACATAACAATATAACTATAATACTATAATGAAAGTTTCCAGGAGCTAAATCTCACATTAATATATTAAGGATCTAAAAGAGACAACAGAATGTTATCTATATGTCATACATATTCTGTTGTCTCTTTAGATCCTTAATATATTATTGTGAGATTTAGCTCCTGGATTGCTCCTAGTATTGATGTGTCATTGTATGTCGGTCAGTGAATGTGTGTCTCTCAGTGATTGTGTGTGTGTTTGTCAGATTGTGTCAAATCAGTGTGTGTGTGGGTATGTCAGTGTATCAGAGTGTGTGCTGGTCAGTGAGTGGGTGTGTCTGTGTGTATGTCAGTCAAAGTGTGTGTTGGTCTTTAACAGAAAGAGGTGTGGCCTTGATGGGAAGGGGTAGGGCAAATTTAATCTAGGTGGTTCCTGAGTTTCGTCATTCCTAGGGCAGGACAAATCCAAAATACACCACTGGCTCCAGGGTGGCCTCATTGGCTTGGCCTCATTGGCTGACCTAAAATGTTGCGCAGTCAGCATCTCTTCATATGCTCATACGAGTGTTTTAAAACATGAAAACCGTACAAAATATTATGGCGATGATATCATCAGTGAAAGTGCAGATGTTGTGTAAAAAATGTTTTTAAAAAATCAATGCTAACTTTGGCTGGGGTTTGTGACTAAGTGGCTATATTTAAAAAAAAAAAAAAAAAAACACCCCATTTTGAATACCCTTGGTTGCTTAATTTTTCAAATGGTATGCCGTGATGGGGGTAATTCTCATTCCTGGACTGCCATGCGGTCTCCAATGAAGCATATCCAATCGGGCAAATTTCAATGTACAAAAACTGAAATGGGCAAGTCTTATATTTGACCCTGTAACTTTCCAAAACACCATAAAGCCTGGACATGGGGGTACCTTTGTACTCTTTAGACCGCAGCAAATTTTATAGCAGTAAAAGCTAACAGTATTATGATACTCTCAGTTAAAATGCCATGCAGAACTAACAAAATAACATTTCTTAATTTCTCACACTTATTATTTTTTTTCCCTATAAAATTGTTTAAAATCTAAATATTTGATGTGAAATGGAATCCCTGTTTCTCCTGAACAAAATGATATATAACAAGTGTGGGTGCACTTATTATGAAAGGTGAATTACAGTTGAACAGACATATAGCGCAAATTCAAGGTATTCTATACATTTCGTTTTGATCAGAACCTGTACAGTTGCCTCCGTCCTTAAGGGTTTAAGCTGTGGTTGTTCTAGTGACTATAGTGTCCCTTTTAAAGTGTCAGGAGGCTAACCTAAATCTCACACAATTGCATAGTTCATGAGCTCTCGTGTGTAGTAGCTTGTATGAGGTACATGCTTTTACTCAAAAATTTGCAGAATAACCCTGATTGTGTTAATCAGGGTTATTCACAATTGCTGGGAATTGAAAGTGAATTTCAAGTTTAAGGTCAAAATAGTTAAGCTGAAGACATAATTTACAGGGAGAATTTCTCTAATTTGGTATCTGTATCGCAATGTTGAAATTCACTTTGAATTCCTGACAATTCTCACTTTAGTGAATAATCCTGAATTTTGTATTCTGGCTGGCTATAAAACAATTGCCTTGAAGCTGACTTTTTAAACAATTGTTCCTGCTGCTTCTGCTTATCTCTAACAGCCCAACACTCTCCTGTCATCTTGTTGCATATCCCCTCTCAACTACACTCCGTACATCCACCTTTCTTTGTCCAAGGCTGTAGACCAGGCACAAGCTTTAGCCTGGTAGGGAAGGAGAGGAGTGGAGAAGTGTGTCCTGAGGGGATAGGATTCAGAGTGTGTAATTGGTGACAGAGCGAAGAATTGAGAGCTGTAAATTTTTAAACTGGGACAGATTGGATCAGGGCCATCTTATCAGCATTGTAGGCCCCCGGGCGAAGCAAAACACTGGAGCCCTGCCTACATAACCAGTCACAGGAATAAAAATATAAATTATTGCTAAAATTAAGTGTGGCGGACCACTTGCTGGGGGACCCGAGTGTCATCGTCAAGGCAACCCTTTCCTCTTCGAAGTATCCCATTCGCAATAACCAGTGATTATAGCTCAGCAGTGTCATAGCCTTTTCCCCCCCATACATTAGCCGAGACTTAATGCTGGGAGAAGTACTGATTTTATTGTCACCAACAAGGTCATTTATACACAGACCCCCAGCATGGGGTCCCTATTCACCAACATAGTGATCCCGCCCTGGTGCCTCTATGTCTGGAAGATAATTGTGTTATCTCTCGCTAAACTAATTTCGAAGATACAGAGGGTACAACATAAAATATCCCCAAAAATAATAAAACCCCACAGGAACCCCACATATTATATATACCTGGAGCTCCCAAGTTTGGAAAATAGCGCTCGGATCCAGTGGCGTGCTAAGGGGGGTGGTGGTCTGCAACCGGGGTGCATTTTTATGCCGCTTGCAAGAGTCTACACATCCAGCAGCAGCATGTCTTCTGTTCTCACGATCCACGAGAGCGTTGCCATGGCAGAGGACATGCTGCTGCTGCTGGATGTGGAGACGCCTGGGCCCCTCTTCACTGGGCAACCATACTGTGCCACCGGGCCACCAGGGGATGTAGTGTGTCCCCCCTCCCTGGACACAGGTTAAAGGTAGGGAGGGGGAGGGACACACACACACAAACAATACACACGGCTCACTATACACTCATTATACACACACATACTGCATACACACTATACACACACACTGCACACACTACACACACACACTGCATACAGTACACAAACACATACACTGCACAAATACACACTGCATACAATAAACACACACACACACACACACACTTATACCTGTGTATCTGTATGTGTATCTGTGTGTCAGCGTATCTGTATGTGTGTCTGTGCCTATGTGTCTCCGTACATGTGTGTCAGTGTGTGTGTGTTTGTATCTATGTCTCTATCCGTCTGTGTGTCAGTGTTTGTCTGTATCTGTGCATGACTGTGTTTCCATGTATCTGCATGTGTATACCTATGTGTCTCTGTATCTATATGTGCCTGTGTGTGCATCTGTGTGTCTATGTGTCTGCATGTGTGCCAGTGTGTGTATATTTGAACATATGTGTATATGTGCATACATCTCAGCATTTCACCAACACTACACACAAATAAACCCCTGCATCCAAATATCAACACTACACAAAACACACCACATATTCAAAAAACACTATACAAAAATGCACGCCTGCATTCAAATGCCAACACTACATGCAAACACACCCCTACATTCACTCACACATACTTCATACAAAAACATGCTTACATTCAACACACAAACACTGCTCAGTGCTAAATACATAAAAAAATTTAAACAGTTCTCAATGCTAAACACATTTTTTTTTTTTTTAAATGTGTGGGCATTTTTAAATTTTTTTAAAATAT